AACTGAATTTGTATTAGTAATTTTATTACGAGCAATATTCAACAGAATATTATCAGCTTTTAACTACCAACTAAAAAGGTATACCTCATAATTACAGATAGTCCTCACTTAATCTTAATTGGGACTGGGAACTCTGTTATTAAGTGGCTTGGTTGATAAAGAAAACATATGACCACACTAATTTATGACATCAGTTCCAGCTGTAGTTTAGTTGTTAAGCACCTTGTTAAGTGTGACATCATGTGACTGTGACTAGTAACTTCCTACCAGGTTTTTCAGCACTGTCGTTAGTTCAAACATTTATACAGGTAATCCTTGACAGTTCAAGTGACTATATGAGGGCACTAAACAAAGGTACTTAGAACTTATCTTTGAAGTTCACATGTCCCCATGTATTCTTGGCAGCTAGCTTGCAATCACACCCAGTTGCAGTATCCTGCAATGATATTATTGCCAACCTTTACTGCCAGTTTCCTACAAGTAGTCAATGTGGAAAGCCAGCAGGGAAGATCATAAGTTGCTTGGATAAATTGGATCTTCCCTAATAGCAACCCTGTACATTTTTTTCTGGCCTTCCTGAGCTCACGCTGCAAACAACGCTGCCCCACCCCACCAAACTCACACATAGCCTACATGAGATCTCCCCTTCACCCTGTGTCACCCCAGCACTCCTTAACTGGAACTCCCTTGGCTTCCCATTTAACATGTGTTGGGGTTACTACAACAACTAGGATTGCCTGGATTGCCATTGGTAAGCAATGCAGTTATGAGACATCACACTTAATAACTGCATAAGCCATGGTATTACCTGTGACACTCAGCTCCGAGTGAAAGGTGGACTTTTAAGACGCAGGATAGGAGGAGTATGATGCTTTCGAACTTTGGTGTGGAAGGAGATTCCTGAGAATATTGTGGACAGCCAAGAAGAAATAATGGCTCTTTATAAACAATTCAACCTAGAGATTTTGCCCATTCTTATTTTGGACATATATGAAGACCCAGCTCTCTGAAAAAGCTCTAATGCTGAAAAAGATAGAAGGATAGAAGAACAGGATTATCAAAAAAAAAAAAAAGTAATGGATGGACATAGTCATGGTGCCATTGAGAGATTTGAAAGAAAAGGTTAGGTTGGGTTAGGGGTATCTTGGGGGAAAAAATCTGTACGGTCTGTAGGAGTGAAATGACTTGTTGACACAATGACACATAATTAGCAGAATAAAAAAGAAAGAAAGATAATGCAAGCAGATAATATAATGTAATACAAGAAACTAAAGTGATACATACATTTATTGTAAATATATGTGACACATATTTCAAAAATACTGGTACTAAAGTAAAGGGAATTTGTTTTGCAACCTTGGGGCAATAACAGTGATTATGCTACTCCTAACTGCAGCTTTTTTTACTACCCTGGCTATTGCCACCTGCCTTCTGCATCCCTGAAAAGAGAGAAGGTACTAGAATTTTCTTTTCTGTTCCTCAGTACTGTCCTGTGAAAATGATCTGAGAATGTTTTTTGGTCATTGTATATTTATTACTATTCGTTTCTAAGTTGTGCTATGAGAACTTGTTATCCTGAAAAAATCTAAATAAATTAATATAATTAACGTAATAAATTATAAAAAATGACATAAAAATTGCTTATCCAAACCATCACTTCATTGAGTCATAATCAGGTCTTACTGGGATTAAAGTTGAACAAAAACAAGCAACAGAAAACAATAGAGATTACATGAAATCATGCCAGAACATTTTACTGCTTAGTGCTTACAAGATTTGCTGTGTTTTAGACAGTGCATGTCTGACTGATTCCCACTTACCCAGCCTGCCTACTGGCATTTTTAGAGGTATTCTCCTACATACCTTTTTTTTTTAAATGAGCTCCATTTTTAAAACTATTTTTGTACTTTCTTCTATTGTCAACATAGAGAAAGCATAAATTACAGAATGAGGGATACAACCAGAGCCAGTTTGGTCTAATGGTTATGTCCTGGCCCAGTCCATGCAACCACACCCCTAGTGGTTTTAATTACTTTATAGAAGCACTGCAAGTCTCTAATTACCCAGGTCTCACTCACAAGAAACAAAGTCCCAATAAGTTTGAGTCTGCACAGCTAAGACATGAAAGTAAAGGTACATACAAAGTCCAATGGCAGGGCCAAAGTCCAAAGGCCAAGCATGATAATCAAAGTCAAGCTCCAAGTCCAGAATCCAATTGCAAAATCAAAGGCCTAATCATGAGGTCAGCAAAGAACAAATAGGTTCGGTAACATGAAAGCAGGAATCACAAAGTCGGAGCACACACTAGGCAGGAAACAGACAGGTTGTCTCCAACATTGCTTTGCTCCACGCACCAGGCTAAATAGTCACCAGCTGGTGCACCTCATTAGGAGGGTTAAGGCTGTCTCCTTGCGAGTAGCTTGCTGACCTTTGTTGCACCTCCCTCCTGCCCTGTGCACCATGAGATCCAGCGGAGGAGGCAATTCCTCATCTCCACTAACTGACTGTGCAGTGTCTCTTCTCTGCCCCGTACTTCTGGTTGGTCAGGCAAGCCTCCCATTTGCAGCTGTATCTTTTTTGCCTTCTCTTCATCCAGGCATTTATCTGATTGCTTCTCCAACAACCTCCCAAGGTTCCTAGTCTCTCCTCCTCTTGCTCATCCATTCCTGGTATGGAATCTCCTGCATGTTCCTAATGCTCCTCCATGCTCCACTCCAAAGTCCCCATTGCTGGCTCTTCCTCATCGTACAAGCCGGCATCTGGGGAAGCCATTAAGGTTAAGGTACAAATCTAGAAAGTAGGAGATCATAAGTTCTAGTCCCATCTTAAAAATGAAAGCAGCTGGGTGAACTTGGGCCAGTCATTCTGTTTCAGGCCAATTCACCTCTCAGGGTTATTGTGGGGAAATAGGATGAGGAAAATGTGTTGGATGTTTTAGCTGTTTGAGTTATTTGTAAAATAATAAAGGCAGGATATAAATAAATAAATACCAATAGAAAGCATAAAGATTAACATACTGCAGAATATATCTCAAAGTTGGCATAGGAAAAATCAAAGCATTGCTTGATGGAGAAGCATAGATAAGGAATTGTATCCAGTGACATACAATCCAGAGCTTTCTGATACTAGACTCATGAGGAAGGTGATGTTTGTTGATATCCTGCTCCCTTACCATATTCTACATTAATTTTTTTGCAGTACAACCTATATATTTAATATTCTTGAAACCTTTGGAAGAGAGAAGAAAGTGAATTGATTAAAATTGCTTGCTTTGTTGTGCTGCTAAACATCTTCAGTGGAGCAAATAGCTTTTTTATCACCACAGAATTAAAGAAATAAAGCTAAAATACTGAAATATATTGAATTTTTAAAGCTATATATGACAAAATACTGAATTTTTAAAGCCATATATGACAAAATGTTGACTCAATGCCTACCCTAAAATAGATTTAAGTGTATTTCCTTTATACCACCGCTAGTTTAATATATTTGTCAGTTTAAATGTTTATCTTGAGAAGATGATTTAAAAAGAAAGAAGAGGTGAGTATAATAAGTGAAGAAAATGATAGATTACAAATATTGCACTAGGCAAATTTTAATGAAATCCAGTGACTTTTGACAGCAATAGCTATCTGCAAAATGTAGCCTTTTTCCTGGAAATGCACTGAACTTACTAGTAAAATATACAGTTGTCTGTAGATGCCAACACAAATATTTTGTAGTTAGTAAGGTTAGCAGTTCTATTCTCCATGAATGATAGTATGCAAAAGTATAGGAGTGACCATCTCAATTTCAATATCACGCCACATTATGCAGGCTATTCAGGATATTATTGACATATATTTGGAACATAATATTCTAGTGCCAACTGAGTCTCCTTGGAATACCCCAATATTGCCCATCCCGAAGGGGGATGGCCGCTTTAGGCCGGTGCAGGATCTCAGGCCTGTTAATTTGGCCACGGTGACCATCCATCCGGTGGTGCCCGACCCATATGTGATACTAGGCCTAATTCCCCAGGCCGCTCAGTGGTTCTCGGTCATAGATTTGAAGGATGCCTTTTTCACCATACCCATCCATGAACATAGCCAACACTTGTTTGCTTTTGAATGGGAGAACCCCGTCACAGGACGAAAACAGCAGTACACTTGGACAAGGCTGCCTCAGGGGTTTAAAAATTCACCAACTCTCTTTGGGGCAGCTCTGGCCAGGGATCTAGAAGCATTGCACACCCCAGCCCCTGACGTGGTGTTGCAATATGTAGATGATCTCCTAGTGACAGGACTCAATGAGGAACTCTGCTGGGATAATACCAGAAACTTACTTTCCCTCTTGCAGAGTTTAGGATATAAAGCCTCTAGGAACAAAGCACAATTAGTTTTACAGAAGGTCAGGTATTTGGGTTATGACATTGAACAAGGGAAGAGGACACTAGGCCATGAGCGCAAGGAGGCTATCTGTCAACTTCCTAGGCCAACTAGCAGAAAAGACTTGAGGGGATTTCTGGGAGCGGCAGGGTTCTGTCGTATATGGATTCCCAACTTTAGCCTCATTGCACAACCTCTCTATGAGGCCACAAAAGGGGCCGATAAAGACCCACTCCAGTGGGCTGGTGAGGAGGAAGCCAGCTTCCTCTTACTCAAACAGGCTCTATTGCAAGCTCCTAGTTTAGGCCTCCAGATTTGGAAAAGCCATTCCAGCTATTTGTGGACACTAAACGGAATGTTGCAGTAGGTGTCCTCACCCAGGTCATTGGCACTTGGCACCGCCCTGTGGCATACCTGTCTAAACAACTTGACAATGTTGCCAAGGGGTGGCCCACTTGTCTTAAGGCTGTGGCTGGGACAGCCCTCCTGACCCAAGAGGCCAGTAAATTGACCTTTGGTCAGCAATTGGATATTCGAACCCCCCATGCCCTTAGATCGGTTTTGGAAATGAAGGGACACTTGTGGTTGACCAACCCCCGAATGCTCAAGTACCAAGCACTCCTCACTCACAATCCCATGGTAACCATTACCCAATCCACCTCCTTGAACCCTGCCACACTCTTGCCCGAGCCTGACACAGAATTAGTTCATGACTGCATCCACACGATTGAGGAAACGTATGCTAGTCGCCCTGACATGAAGGATGTGCCCCTCTCTGTTCCTGACTACACCTTATTCACAGATGGGACTAGTTACTTGCACGAGGGGATTAGGAAGGCAGGGTATGCTGTGGTCACTCTAGATGAGGTATGGGAAGCTGCACCACTGCCCCCGGGCACCAGTGCCCAACTAGCTGAATTGCATGCGCTCACACGAGCCCTTGAACTAGCTGATGGTTTGGCTGTTAACATATATACAGACTCAAAGTATGCCTTTCTTACCATCCAAGTTCACGGAGCTCTGTATAAGGAAAAGGGACTTATTACGGCAGGGGGTAAAGATATTAAATATGGTCCGCAGATATTACGTCTCCTAGACAGTGTGTGGGCCCCGAGCAAGGTGGCAGTCATACATTGCCGTGGACACCAGAGGGTAGTAACGGACATACAAAGGGGCAATGAGCGTGCCGATAAATTCGCACGTGAAGCTGCCATGATCGTCTTCACCCCAATAGAACGGAACCTTGCTGTATGGGTGCCTGATAACCACCCACGACCCCATTATTCGGGAGATGACATGGCTAGGCTGGAAGCACTTGAGGCACGCCCGGAGGGCCCTTGGTGGGTCCTACCAGACAATAGGGTGTATATTCCAGCACACATGGCATGGGATATTGTACGCCAGGTACATCAGCAACTGCACATGGGGAAAACTGCTTTAACGAAGGCGCTAAGGAGAGAATTGTACATAGATAAAGTTAGTAGCATTGCAGCTAACGTGTGTGCCCGATGTGAAATATGTGCGGCTAACAATCCTAGGCAAGGCCCGCAACCACCCCCGGGCCACCAACCAAGAGGTTGTTACCCTTTTGATTCATTGATGATTGATTTTACTGATATGCCCCGTTGTGGTCCATATAGCGCGCTTCTCGTTATTGTGTGCACGTATACTGGGTGGCCAGAGTGTATACCTACACGCACGAAGAAGGCCACCGAGTTCGCGAGGGCATTACTCCATATTATAATCCCTCGATACGGGTTGCCCTCTCGAATTTCTTCGGACAATGGTCCGGAATTCATCCACAAAGCGACCCAACAATTAGCCAGGGTTTTAGGTATTACCTGGAAACTGCACTGTAGCTTCCATGCTCCTTCGGGAGGCAGGGTGGAGAGGGTTAATCGAACAATCAAGGACAAACTCGCTAAAATATGTCAGGAAACCCATCTTAAGTGGACTGATGCTTTGAGTTTGGCCCTGGTGGCTGTTCGATGTGCCCCACGGAAGGATATCTCGGTCTCGCCTTTTGAATTGTTATACGGCCGGATCCCCAATCTGGTCAAGATTAATGCCAATGGCGACACCAAGATCTCGGATACTATTCGGTTACAGCAACTTAGAGCCCTCAATACCATTGTCCATGAATTACAACATTATGTCCTCACGTGTAAGCCCCACGTGTTGGTGACTTCCCCACATGATATACATCCGGGCCAGGAAGTCTGGGTTAAGGATTGGAAAAGGGAAACATTAGGCCCGAAATGGAGGGGGCCCTATACTGTGGTCATGTGTTCTCCCCTTGCTGTTAAGGTAGCTGAAATAAGATCGTGGATCCATTGGTCCCGTGTTAAATTGGCTGCACCTACTTATTGGAAAGTGGAAACCTGCCCGGGTTCTCCACTTAAGGTTATCCTGAAAAGGGCGAAGAAGGATATCTCCCCTAGTGGTGACACACCGGAAGCTGTCCCTCTACCTACGGGAGACGAAGAGGATTTGCTCTCCCCTAGTGGTGACACACCGGAAGCTGTCCCTCTACCTACGGGAGGCGAAGACCGTCGCACCCCTGCTGGCGTTACTCCGGAAACTGACGCCCATCGCACGGGTCTCCCTTGGCGCCTGAGGTCTAGAGTTTCCCGTACCTAGTTCTAGGCTGTGGAAAAAGGAGGGAATAAAGGGAAATGGAAGCTAGTCAGAGGTTAAGGGAAACCGCGTGCATCCGCAGAGGGCTTATGCCGTCTGTCTGGATTGTGACCATTCTGCTAGTGCTAGGTGTTGCAATCAATTCACTAAACCTATATTCAACACTGAGGCAGAAAAAGGTGGTATCAGAGGAGCCGCTGCTCCTAGACGATGACATAATGGAAGAGTGGTACTCACCAGACCCTTTCGAGGATGAACCCCCACCAATGGTTAATGCTAGGGAAATTAAAACATGTCTGGATTGCTATTTGCTAAGACCTACAGGTAAACATTTCACTTATACTGAATATAGACCCCCTAACTGTCGTATTACAAATCTTCCCCAGTGCGAATATCAAGGGACTAAGTATTGGCAATGTATGAAAAATAACACAATAAGATGCTACTATCTACGATCCCCATGGGTTTCGGTGAAACATACTCGACTACCCCGTAATTCTGCTTATCAGTTAGCATCGTACAAACATGACCCAGCGTGTGATGGCTGTGTTGATAAACAGGGGATATTGACAGCGTATGTTGGGACTCCGCCTACTTGCACAATTTTCAATATTACCTCCAATTGTTTTTATATGTTACCCATGGAAAACGGCCAGATGCAGAACACATTAGTGTTAAGGTGTGCTGGAAATTTTGGGGAGAAGTGCTACACAGAAGTGCCCCTAGGGATAGCTCCACCGTTTTCTCTGAGGGACAGAGATGTGAGATGCACCCTGAATGTAAGGATGGAAGGGGTGGCCTCAGATATACTATAGGAACACCGGCAACCTGCACAGACTTTAGTCTACCCCAATGCATCTATGATACCTGGAGCCCCCCTACAGGTTGTATCGGAAAAAAATGCACAGGCATCTTCCGAGTGGACGCCCCTTTAAAACGATGTATGGGAAACCAGGGACTTGTGTGTTATAGGGATAGTGGAATCGTACCCACTCCTTATTGGAGAAATCCTAGATACCACGCCCCCGCACCAAAGCCCAAATTTCCTAAACCCCAGGGTGAAAGCGTGGCTAGCAAGATCCCTCCTACATTAGATCGGGACCCCTTATGTCCCAACAATTGCACTGCATGCCTCAAAACGGTATTAAGGGGAAGGGAGATTCGCACTACCTTGATATACTATACCCACTACACCTGCACATTGGCTCCCACCCCCTGTTGTTTCAATGGAACCTGGTACTCTATTTGCCCACAAAGGAATGAATGCTTTGATCCCAAGGTACAACCTGCCCAAACGTGGTTGGTGGTTAGGAGTCAGGGGGATAGCCACGGTCCAATCATTGCTCAAACTCGGATTCTGACACCTACTAGCCCAGCAACTTTTTTGTTTGATGTATGTAAGGTGTCCCAATGGCCCACTTCATGTGGAACATCCTTGTCCTGGCATAGGACATATTCTCACGCCGATATATATATATGCCCCTACCAGAATCCTACTGCGAGGGGGAGGTGGGATTGCAGTGGTAATGTGGCTGAGAGGTACTGCCCATATTGGAGCTGTGCTCTGTGGGCTACGTACATCTCCTCGGGAAGGGGGATTAACTTGCAGATCTCACGGGCTTTGGAGTCTAAAGACTGCTCCCTGTATAACTGTAATTGGGTTAATATCACCATTCCTAATCCCCAGGACTGGATTGCGAAATATGGACCAACGTTGGGAATTAGGTTATATGCAAAGGGAACAGACCCAGGGGGGATTATACACTTGTCCATAGAGACTAGGAATATTGCATCTAATTCCAACTCTAGATATTTCTCAGAATTTTGGCAGGAGGTAGATATAGAATTTCAGCCCTCCCATGAGGCACGGAATCTGTTCTTGGAGCTAGCTTCCACTATAGCTCATACCTTTAATGTTACTAACTGTTACATATGTGGGGGAACAAAAATAGGGGATCAGTGGCCATGGGCAGCCCAGGAGTGGAACTATTCTATACCCTATAATCTTTCGGCTATGCCTCCACACCAGCCCCTCTCGAGATGGGAATTGTCCAACCCTATTGTTGCTCACTGGTGCCTGGCCAATACACAAGGGAAAGGTCCATCTGTTGGGGACACTGAGTGTTTGGAAGTACATGAATGGAACCACTCCACAAAGGTCTGGCATTATTGGCCTAACAGGACCAACACCTACTGGGCAGATAAGTATTCCTTTGAAAATGCTTCTGAAGCCCCTCCGGGTGTACATTGGATATGTGGGGATGTGGCCTATAGCTCTCTACCCACTGACTGGAGAGGGACTTGCACCTTAGGGATTATTAATCCTTCTTTCTTTATGATGCCACTAGACATACCCCAGGCATTGAATGCTAATTTATGGCAGGGCAGAATATTGCAGGCTGCTAGGCCTTACCAAATTGGGGACTGGAGTGACGGAGACTGGCCCCCAGAGAGAATTGTTCAGTATTACAACTCAAGTACATGGGCAGCTGACGGGTCTTGGGGATACCGTACCCCTATTTATATGTTAAACCGCATTATTAGGCTCCAGGCGGTGCTTGAGTTAATAGCTAATGAAACTGCGCAGTCTCTGGTTACCTTGGCAGAACAACAAAGAAAGTTCAGGGATGCTATCTATCAGAACCGCTTGGCCTTAGACTATCTTTTGGCTGCTGAAGCTGGGGTCTGTGGGAAATTCAATTTTACCAACTGCTGTTTGGAATTTGATGATATAGGAGAAATCATTGAACAACGCGCTAAACGAATTATGACTCTTGCTCATGTCCCTGTTCAAAAATGGAAGGGTTTTGATTTTGGTGAGGTTTTTGGTTCTTGGTTCCCTAAGTTGCCTGGCCTACAGGCCATTGTGGCACTTGTTGGGATGATTGCTGCTGGATGTGTAATCTTACCTTGTATTCTTCCTATCTTTGTGCGCACCATTTCCAGCAGCCTCTCACTTCTTGTCGAGAAGAAAACAAATGAAAAGGTAATGGCCTTATGGGCCCATGACCTCTCGGGAACATATGAGGAACTTCTTCCTCTTTATCCCACTACTCAAAATTTGGATGAATATGAAACTGCACACTAAATCTCTTGATGTGGGTGTAGTTTCAAAGGGGGGAATGAAGCAGGACCAATTAAGGCATATAAAATATGGACATTATAGAAATCTAGGTCATAGGTTAGAACCAACTCAGGGTCACATTTACTTCTGTATTTTGTTTGTTGCGAAAATAAGGAACTTATATTTTAAGGAAGTAAAGCTCTGCTTCTCTTGCAACTAAGGATGGGAATGGAAAATTACTGTTGGTGTAAGATAACAGAATAAGCAAGAAAAACATATCCTCTTTTGTGTTCCTGCCGTAACACAGGATATTGCATTTATCTGTCCTAAGATGCGTGTATAATCAGTTGACCGTAATTTGTGAAAGTGTTAAAGGTAAACGCCCAGACCTATGATGAGGTCATTCTGGGTATAAAAAAACCACACCAGATGCAGCTGGGTGTTCAGAATTTGTCATGCTAATGCTCTGAACGTGTTGCGCAATAAACCTGATTTCCTCCACCTTTTCCGTGGTCTTGAGTCCTGTCTTCGATATATGATTTGCTGCTACAATACAAATTACAATAATATGCCAGTAATTATCTCAAAGTATCTTGGAATATAATTATGGAAGGGTTAATAGCACCTATAATTAGAAGTATCTTGTTTGGTAACTTAAATTTGTGAATACTGAGGTAGATCAATAACAGCCCAGAAGTCTACAGATAAATCAGAAAAGAAATCAAAATAGTATTTCTGGGCAAAGTTGTAAAATGCATATTTCCAAATGGTTCGAAGGGTCAGATTTTGACAAATCTATCGTAGAAGATAGGCTTCTACTGAGCAGCAACAAAATAATTTGACCAAGCAGATATTATCCCAATTTTAGTTGTTGCCATCGTAGCAGTGTATGTCTTATTTTGGCCATTTATTATTTAAACATTTGTTCTTTTGAAACATAAACACATTTTTCAGGGATTTTTTTAACTCTACAAACTATAACGTGGTACCCCATACTTTCTTGTAATGAAGAATTCATTTTTTTAAAAGAAACATAATTACAGTATAAATAATTAAGGTATTCATGGAACTATGGTAAAAGCACTGGCTAAAGGACAGGGAACCCCACCAGGGGACATAAATAGATATTCCAGCTAGAGTCCATTCAGGGGAGAAAATATTTGAGATCAAGCTTTTAGGCCTATATCTTCCATTTCCAAAGGGAAGGCAAACAGTTTGGTGAGATTCTTTTAATATACTGTAGGTGATCAACCATAAGATATCTGTTTGGCTTACCTATGAATGTCTCTAGTTGCTTGTGCCTGAAATTAATTTCACCATTCATACATCTGAGAAGGAGAAAGACATAGAGGTGGCAGCAGACCTGCACAAAACTGCTGTGTCTCTTTAAGAAATGGTGTAACCCTATTCTAACACTGACAGGAAATGGAAAAACAGACCATGCCAAACCAATTTTATTTGATAAAGTGACTAAATTAGTAGACCAGCAAAATGCTATGGACATAGTATACTTAGACTTCAGCAAGGCATTCAACAAAGTAGACCACAACCTACTTCTTGGTAAGCTAGTAAAATATGAGACAGACAGCATCACCACAAGATGGAGTTGTAACTAGCTAACAAACCATCCTCTATCGTTTTGTCTATCGTTTCATTGAAGGTGTACCATGCTAAGCACTGAATGGTTGGCAAAACAGCATCTACTACAGCTTTTGCAGTCTAACTTGCTGCAGCTGGAGCAATGCATGACAGGGGCGTTCAATCCATGAATGTTTTATTTCGATGTTGAACCAGCAAGGGTAGTACACACCTATGATGTCATTCTTAAGTTTTGGAAAGTTTTGTCTTTAAAGTCATGTTTTGAAACCCATACTTGACAAAGCCTATTTGCAGTTGTCAACCAACATGAGTGGCTTATGGGGCCAATTTCCAGAAGAGTCAGATTTGTGGGAAGTTCTCCTGTCCATATTGTCTGTGTGATCCTATATCCATATATTTGATCAGTAGAGAGATCCATTATAACACTGTCGCTCAGTGAAATGAGAGGTTCACCAATTGAAACGCTAATGAATGAAGGATCAATATCAAGTTCAGTTGCAGTATCTAGCCCATTTGTTAGACAAGGTCTTACCATCCAATTTTGTGATTAAATGTCATAGAGGTAACTCATTCTCCTATACACTGCTTCGAGAGTCTAGGAATGGGTTAAGCTCCTCCTTCTGACATCATAGAGCTGAGTCTGCCAAAAAGCCAGCCTCTGGCTGGCCCGCCCATCTTCTGGCTCAGCTTCTTGTCTGAGAGCATAGTCTCTGGAAGAAGTGCTTTTAAACAGCTAAAGGAAAAGTTTGAACTCAAAGAGACAGCAGTAAATTTAAAATCCAGCTCCTGGGGATCCGGTAGAGCTCTGTCTCCAGGAGAGCGGGGATCCACTCTCTTGCAGTGCCGAGGATTCGGCCCTGCTCCTCAAGGACTTCGGACCCAGGGAACGTTCGGAGGAACCTCCCACTCGCAGCCCCACTGATCGCAACCTCGTTGTTGCTGCCGCCAGCCAAACCGCTTTACAGTTGACTCTCTACAGCAATCGAATTAAACCAGAACAGCTGAGGAGCTTTGTTCCTGCTGCTTCTCAACTGTTCCGGCTTAATTCGATTGCTTGGGTCCTAGTAAGAGCCTAAGGAGTGAAGGTGGTGGCTAGGCTGTCCCAGGGCCACCCCACATGGTAGGGGCCATTTTAGAATTTCCGGGCGGCCATATAATAATATAATATAATATAATAATATAATATAATAATATAATATAATATAATATAATATAATATAATATAATATAATAT